GTTTTTTTAAAAGGTTTTTTTTTTTTTTTTTTTTTTTTTTTTTTTTTTTTTTTAATGAGTGGAGAGAATATATTTGATAGTAAATCAAAGACCCTGTGATGAAGTTAGGCAGGCCTAATGTGGTTTATTGTCACTCTTCACTAATTTGAGGAACACAAAACTGGATTTCTTATGTTCAATTTTAGCAGAGGTTTTAATCCCTGCCCTTCCATATCCATATTAATGACATAATAAACTGCTGAGAAGATGTACTAAACTTGAGATCTCCTAATAGAAACTGATAATAAATATGTTAAAATTTGTCATTTCTAATGTCTTTCAGGAGCGTTTAATGTCACTATTTTGTCCTACCAGTACTAATAAAAAGTATCCCTTTTTAAAAGTAAATGCTAACTGCCAGTGGAGAGAAGATAATTATCAGCATTGTTATTGTTTCTTGGGCTCACAAAAGAATAGCTGCTGGATATAGTATCTCTGCAAATAGCAAGCTCAGTCATGTTTCTTTATCTTGAATTTACAGAACTTCTTCGATAATAAACAGTTTGATATTTAGAAATTTGTCTACTTACTATGAGCACAGTGAGGGGTACCCTCAAGGCTTGTAAAATAATGCCTTTAAAACTGACAATGACACTGGGTAACTATCAACCTAGAAGTATCTGTGTTTTAGATGCTTATAGTACCCTGAAACTTAATTTTAAATCTGCATTTATTTGATAGATGGTACACGAGCTTCAACTTTTCACCTTAATGTTTTCTTTGGTTGTAGTAAATAATAACGGTAGGGATTTTTTATTTGCTTTCTTGCCCAGACTGTTGTTTGCCAGTAGAAATAAAATAGTGAACTGATACAGAGAGAAATGATGAGAAACAGGCAGTGGAAAAATGAAAGAAATGGGAACTGCTAAAAAGGAACAAGAACAGAAAAATTGGAAAGGAATACTAGAAGCCAACAATGTAATGTGAAAAAAGTATGGAATGGAAAGTAAAAGAAAAATCATCAAAATGCTTAGGGGAAGAAAATAAATGAAGTGTAAAAGAATTAGACATTTAGGGTTGGGGGGAAGCAAAA